ATCTCTGAGTTTGCTTGTGGGTCATGGTTGTGCAGATAACAGTGCTGCCCTTGTAGGGTACCCTTGCTACAAGCTCAAGGGAAGCAGGATACTGGGGCATGTTGTTGGGAACCACAGCTCTGGAGCGGGGAGGCCCAACCCGGAGTTGGTCCCAAGGTTTGCCCCACTGCCCCCACTCCTGAATCACCGCTGCCCTGACTCCCCTCCCAGATGGCCCTCTGCTTTCTTAGGGGCTGGTCTTCAGGATCTTCAAAGTCCCTTCCAGCCCTAATGTCTATGAAATCAGAGAAGGAGTCCTACCAGGGGGAAAAGGAGTCCCAAAGGTCTTTGTGCAGCTGTTTGGCCTGTGAAGCCAGTGGGGTGAAGTGTCCCAGGGGTAAGGGCTGGGGAGTGGACAGTAGTCACCTGAAGCACAGGTGATGTCCAGACCAAGCTCCCAAGGAGTATGGGTGGATCTAAAAGGGTCCAACATCAGAGCTGGAGTCAGAAGCACCAGCCAGAGTCAGGGCATCAGAGAATAACAGAAACACAGAACCAGCCAGGAGCCAAGACAAGTCAGGAGTCCGGCCGCAAGCAGGATTCAAAAGCCAGAGTCAGGACTGCTATCAGGAGGCATGAGACAATGCCAAAAACACACAGAGATCAGGAGCATGTACCTTAGTCTTTGCCCAGACAAGGACACCACAGGCCAGGCCCGGAGCAGATGGAGCCAGCTCTGATTGCCCCGTGCAACCCAGCTGGGACCAGGGCACTGCTCAGTCAATCAGCTTAGTCATTAATCAATAAGCTTACCTTTAAGTCATAAGCAGTATCCTGGCACAATAGAATAATTTTCTGTGTTAAGTCCACTAACATTAACTAATAATATGATCAAGTGTGAATAACTGCTTCTGGGGAAGGAGTTTATCAGTAATCGAACTTAACAACTGATGTTTTCGGCTCTGGATAAGAATTGAGCTGTATGTAGTCAGCTAGAATCCTATTGAAATAACCAGGGTCTTTTCGAATCTATTGCAGCCCCAGCTGTTTTCAGGAAACTTATGCTCAGCTGCAGAACTGTGGTGAAAACAGGTCCCAAAGCCTGTGGGCAGCTTCCCTTGTCAGCAAAGTAAAAGAAACAGGATGGGGCTAGTAGCCTTCCCACATGGGGAGGGAAATAGATAAGCAGTCCTCTCTCCCAGGACTGTGATATACCCAAGGCCACAGACCCCAGCTCAATGGCACCTTCCAAGTTCCCAAATTCTCAGGAGAACAAAGATGTTAGAATAACACCAATCAGACTATTTGGTAATAAACCACATACAAATACTGGATATAAACAAGGTGGGGCTTGGAGAGACCTCAGCAAATTCAACACAACCTGCTGTCACGATACATACCACCCTCCTCCTCCCTCTCATGTCTCCCTAGCCCATATAGATGTGAATCCGTATTAAGCTGTTGCTAGATGGGTAAAGGGGCCAATGCTTCTTCCTGTGCTTTGGCTACAAGTGATAAAAAGTTGGATTGTAGCCCTGTCGCTTTCCTCTTGACCTGACTTGAGGGATAGTCAGCACTTACCTGCAAAGAGGGAACAGCTGAGCATTGCGAAGGGTGACTGAATCATGAGTTGGTGCATGAACATTGTAGCTGTCCTTTAATCCTGTGTCTAAGCTTGCAGAAGGGTCCTGAACGCAGATGGGCTGTAGTCGCAGTCCCTGAAAGCCTGAATGAACATGGGTGTTTGGTGACACCAGAAGAGAGTGGGAATCCCCGGTGCCACCGCTAGAGGGACCCCCGAGGCCCTGGGATGGGAGGCTGCTTGGAGGCAGAAGCGGGAGGTGGGATGAAGGCTGCTCAGAGCCCCAGCCCCTGGATGCAGACACGCTGCTGTTGTGCTGAGGGCAGGATGGCCTTGCTTCTGCTGGCCTGCTTGGCTGGATTTGCCGGGCTCGGTGAGGGGCAAGCAGAGCCGAGGGGGAACTGTCATCTCAGCAAGGCGCAAAGGGAGAGCTCAGTGACCTGATCAAGGGACCACTGGGGTCACCAGGCTGCAGGTGGCAGGGAGGAAAGGGCAGGGGGACATGGGGAATGCAGGGGGGGTTCGAAGAAAGAGCAAGACAAGGGTGCAGGACGGGCAGCGTGCAGGGGCATCAGTCTGCAGAGCGAAGGAGGTATGTGAATAAATGAATGCGGGGGGATGGACAACCAGACACATGAGGGAGTGCAGAAGGGCTGATGCAGACACACGGATAAGACAGCACAGGAAGGAGGGCACTGATGCATGGATGCACCACACTGTGCTGAACAAATGGATGAACAGTGAGACAGGACTCAGGGACAGACAGACAGGAGAGCAGTCTTACAAGGGATCTCTGCCTTTCTAGGCCATGCTCAGCAGGACTCCGTCACCCAGTCCCCCTCGGCGTTGGTGATCCACGCAGGGGACACTGCCACCTTGTCCTGCAGTTTCTCCACCAGCGATACCTACCCATACCTCTACTGGTACCGGCAGCATCCAAACCGGTCCCTGCAGCAGCTGATGCAGCTCTACAAAGCTGAGTGGAGGAAGCAAGCAGGGCGGGTCTCTGCGGAGCTGCACGTTGGGAACTCCTCGGGGCGGCTGGCGATCCAGGGCACCACGCTGCAGGACAGTGCTGGGTATCTCTGCGCGCTGAGTGACACAGAGGGCCCTGGCTGCTGCTGCACCGTACAGAAAGGTGTGGATGGCTCTGTGGTGGGCACGTGCCCCTCCTTCCTCTGCACTGCACAGCAAGAGAGGAAGAAGGAAATGGAGAGACGGTCAGATGGAGGGATAGGCAGCTGCATGTTGTCATGCCCCAGCTGGCACGGGTGAGCAATCCCCCTTTTTGCTGGCTGCCTTGGGCTGCTCAGAAAGCCCCTTGGGATTGCTTTGTGGTGAGAGAGAGCCTGGAGCTGGACAAGGTTGTGAAGAAGGGCTGGGGGCCTTGAAGCAGTGTTTGGTACCTTTCACAGCCTCAAGGTCCCTCTGTAACTTCCCTGAGTTTTGTGGCACCAGGTCTGAGCACCTCTGAGCCTCGGAGCATGGGAGGAGTATAGGCGATAGGCCAGGCTGCAGAGATTGGCTGCGGCCCTATGTCCATCAGCCCTGATGGTGGCTGGCACAGGGGCTGTCACGGGCTGTGGATGCGGTGGGAGTAGGGGAAGGCAGAAGCAGTGGCAGCCGCAAAGAGGCATCCACAGGCACCACTAAGGTAGCTGGGGAGGGACCTGCAGCACCCTTAAAGTGATCTCACGTTATCCTGGTTGAGAACCACTGCCTTGGAGTCTCCCATGGTGAAGTACAGACTGTGGACACTCTCTTCAGCAGCTCCTCAAGCAAGGTGTCAACATCAAAGTCATTTAGGCAGCTTCAAAGCCAGTGAAGGAATGTGGCCAGTGGGTTGATATGGCCTTTCCTGGACATGCAAGGGAAAAGAACAGGATCCAGCTGTGTGCATCTGAGGGTTATCCTGAGACAGGATGGGCTGGGAGGGACCTTGTGAGGCCAGCTGGTCCAGTCCCTACTCACTACCAGATCATCCCCGATTAAACCACCCTACTAAGTGTCTGTCCAACCTGTTCTTGGGAAGTGCCAGGGATGGAGCGTCCACCCCTCTCTAGGCAGCCTTGTCCAGTGCCTGCCCACCCTTCTGGTCAGCAAGCTCCTCCAATATCAGCTTCCTCTGCTACTGCTTGAGGCCATTGGTCATAGTCCTGTCCCCTGTGGCCATAGAGAAAGGCCCATCTCCATCCTCTCTATCACAGCCTGTTCATATCTTCCCCCGACTAGAGGAGGGCTCATAGGACATACATGCAAAGAGGCTCAGGGGTGGGACCAGGTCTGAACGCTGGGAGAACAGGAGCTGATTGGCAGGTGACAGACAGACAGAGAAGGAGCTCACTACAGGGACAGCGAGAGGGCAGGAAGCCCAGTGCCTCTTGGACGACTGAGGAGGTGGACACACAGATTGGCTCCACCAGACAGACTGCGGAGTGGGAGCCAAGCCCTGGCCCTGCCATGCAGGGTCTCTGCAGCCTCCTCCTCCTCTGCGGTGAGTAGCATTCCCCACCTGCGCTGCTCTGCTCCAGGGGGGCGGTTTTCCCTGCCTCACTCTCTGCCTTTCCTCCCCCAGGGGCAGCGAGATGGGCCCTGGCCCAGGTGTCCCAGCCACCCCGGCTCACGGCGCTGGAAGGAGGACGGCTCCACATCTCCTGCAACCACAACATCACCCCACATCAGAGGATGTACTGGTACCGGCAGCCCCCGCAGGGTCAGGGGGCCCCGATCTTCCTGGGGAGCGGGTACGATGGGACCTCGCCCGCAGGGGAACTCACCATGGAAGTGTACCTGGCCTCCCGCTCCAGCACCCTCTCCCGGGACGGTGCCAGGCTGCAGGATGCTGGCATCTACTACTGCGCCACAGAGGACACAGTGACAGGGGTGGAGGCACCAGCTGCATCAAAACCCCCGGCCCGACTTCCTGCCCCGTGCACCCAGGGCACATGCTGTTGGCTGCTGCCCTGACTCCCCTCCCACATGCCCACTCCTCACCCCCTCCAGGGGCACCGTGGGTCCTGCAGAAGGGGCTCCTCCAGCCCCAGCTCCACCTGACACCCACCTGTGCCCAGCAGCTGGCTCAGGGGTCTCAGCCGCTTGCAAGAGGAGTGGGTGCGCAGGCTCAGACCGCTCCCTCTAGAGAAGTGTTTCTCCAATACGCTAGGCTGCAGGGCCCCTCAGAAATGGCCGGGTCTGAGCTTCTACTTGTTATTTTCCCTCCAGAAAAGGACAAGAGCAGTTCTCTTGTGGTGAGGTATGGAGGGTGGCGAGGTATGGAGGGAGCACAGCAGGATGGGATGTTTTTCACACCATGGCTTTCATTTGGAAATCTCTGAGTTTGCTTGTGGGTCATGGTTGTGCAGATAACAGTGCTGCCCTTGTAGGGTACCCTTGCTACAAGCTCAAGGGAAGCAGGATACTGGGGCATGTTGTTGGGAACCACAGCTCTGGAGCGGGGAGGCCCAACCCGGAGTTGGTCCCAAGGTTTGCCCCACTGCCCCCACTCCTGAATCACCGCTGCCCTGACTCCCCTCCCAGATGGCCCTCTGCTTTCTTAGGGGCTGGTCTTCAGGATCTTCAAAGTCCCTTCCAGCCCTAATGTCTATGAAATCAGAGAAGGAGTCCTACCAGGGGGAAAAGGAGTCCCAAAGGTCTTTGTGCAGCTGTTTGGCCTGTGAAGCCAGTGGGGTGAAGTGTCCCAGGGGTAAGGGCTGGGGAGTGGACAGTAGTCACCTGAAGCACAGGTGATGTCCAGACCAAGCTCCCAAGGAGTATGGGTGGATCTAAAAGGGTCCAACATCAGAGCTGGAGTCAGAAGCACCAGCCAGAGTCAGGGCATCAGAGAATAACAGAAACACAGAACCAGCCAGGAGCCAAGACAAGTCAGGAGTCCGGCCGCAAGCAGGATTCAAAAGCCAGAGTCAGGACTGCTATCAGGAGGCATGAGACAATGCCAAAAACACACAGAGATCAGGAGCATGTACCTTAGTCTTTGCCCAGACAAGGACACCACAGGCCAGGCCCGGAGCAGATGGAGCCAGCTCTGATTGCCCCGTGCAACCCAGCTGGGACCAGGGCACTGCTCAGTCAATCAGCTTAGTCATTAATCAATAAGCTTACCTTTAAGTCATAAGCAGTATCCTGGCACAATAGAATAATTTTCTGTGTTAAGTCCACTAACATTAACTAATAATATGATCAAGTGTGAATAACTGCTTCTGGGGAAGGAGTTTATCAGTAATCGAACTTAACAACTGATGTTTTCGGCTCTGGATAAGAATTGAGCTGTATGTAGTCAGCTAGAATCCTATTGAAATAACCAGGGTCTTTTCGAATCTATTGCAGCCCCAGCTGTTTTCAGGAAACTTATGCTCAGCTGCAGAACTGTGGTGAAAACAGGTCCCAAAGCCTGTGGGCAGCTTCCCTTGTCAGCAAAGTAAAAGAAACAGGATGGGGCTAGTAGCCTTCCCACATGGGGAGGGAAATAGATAAGCAGTCCTCTCTCCCAGGACTGTGATATACCCAAGGCCACAGACCCCAGCTCAATGGCACCTTCCAAGTTCCCAAATTCTCAGGAGAACAAAGATGTTAGAATAACACCAATCAGACTATTTGGTAATAAACCACATACAAATACTGGATATAAACAAGGTGGGGCTTGGAGAGACCTCAGCAAATTCAACACAACCTGCTGTCACGATACATACCACCCTCCTCCTCCCTCTCATGTCTCCCTAGCCCATATAGATGTGAATCCGTACTGAGCAGTTGCTAGATGAGCAAAGAGACAAACGCTTCTTCTTGTGCTTTGGCTACAAGTGATAAGAAGTTGGATTGTAGCCCTGTCGCTTTCCTCTTAATCTGACTAGAGGGATAGTCAGCACTTACCTGCAAAGAGGGAACAGCTGAGCATTGCGAAGGGTGACTGAATCATGAGTTGGTGCATGAACATTGTAGCTGTCCCTTAATCCTGTGTCTAAGCTTGCAGAAGGGTCCTGAGCACAGATGGGCTGTAGTCGCAGTCCCTGAAAGCCTGAATGAACATGGGTGTTTGGTGACACCAGAAGAGAGTGGGAATCCCCGGTGCCACCGCTAGAGGGACCCCCGAGGCCCTGGGATGGGAGGCTGCTTGGAGGCAGAAGCGGGAGGTGGGATGAAGGCTGCTCAGAGCCCCAGCCCCTGGATGCAGACACGCTGCTGTTGTGCTGAGGGCAGGATGGCCTTGCTTCTGCTGGCCTGCTTGGCTGGATTTGCCGGGCTCGGTGAGGGGCAAGCAGAGCCGAGGGGGAACTGTCATCTCAGCAAGGCGCAAAGGGAGAGCTCAGTGACCTGATCAAGGGACCACTGGGGTCACCAGGCTGCAGGTGGCAGGGAGGAAAGGGCAGGGGGACATGGGGAATGCAGGGGGGGTTCGAAGAAAGAGCAAGACAAGGGTGCAGGACGGGCAGCGTGCAGGGGCATCAGTCTGCAGAGAGAGGCAGCTATGTGAATGAATGAATGAATGAATGAATGTGGGGGGACACGGACAACCAGACACATGAGGGAGTGCAGAAGGGCTGATGCAGACACAGATATGACAGCACAGGAAGAGGGCACTGATGCATGGATGCACCATGCTGTGCTGAACAAATGGATGAACAGTGAGACA